TCGCTACGGGCCGATTTTTCGGCGCTGTGCCGAAAGTGTGCACTTGCGGAAGATCTGCAATATCGCCCGTAGAAAGGAAAAGGTGAAAAAATTATCACATAATACAATGAAAAATATAATTTAATAATGTAATTTCGTATGGAAAGTTTCAAAAACGATCGTACATAACGAGCATCAATCATTGAGTGACTATAATCACCGATCGTACATAACGAGCATCAATCGTTGGGTGACTATAGTCACCGATCGTACATAACGATCGTTCGTAGCGAAAGGGTTAAAATGAGATTGAAACGTAACGTGTGTGCATAGAGACTGAACGATTAAACGCATCGCGATGTATTTTGTTAATGATTTGTAATACTTGCGCAGCTTCGACGAGTCTGTGAACTACATAGAACTCGACTATCCGAGAAACATAAGCATGTTCGCTGGCATTGGAACCGATATCGACGCTGTTTTTCAATGGAAAAACGGTCAGTATCGATCGTGGCCATTATGGTGATATTATATCGTACGATTAAAAATTGTATTTTTTCTTTTTTTCCTTTTTTTTTTTTTTTCTTCTAGGAAAAACATATTTCTTCAAAGGGAAAGGCTTTTGGGAGTTTGACGACCAGAGGATGAGAGTTGCGCACGAAAAGCAAAAATTGTCAGCACCAGTTTGGATGGGCTGCCCTCCGGAATTGGAAACGAACGACGTGGAAAATTACCCAAGGAAGTCGAAAATAATGGCCTCTAGCTGCGCATCGACAAGATCGAGTCTTCTCCTTGGGATATTCTTTATAGCATACTTTAATAAATACTTGTAAACTGTGATATTTACGTAGAATCGTGTATAAACACGCCGTGCGTGCACGCGCGTGCGGCCCAATCTACACGCGACCAAATTTTAAAACGCGTACACACACGCGCACACACACGTACACTTCCTTTATACCGAGAATATATGAAATAATTTTAATAAAGCCATTTTTAAATAATTTCGACGAAAATTTTGATAATAAACGATGACGCATCCTGATCTGCGAGATATCTCTTTATCTTTCCACAAACATTATTCTAAACAATGTACAAGCAATTTAAATTGGATTGTAATCCCAGTGTATACAAGCCGTTTCAGAAAAAGAAAGGAAAGAAAGGTGACATAGTTATCTGATTTAACTTATATATTTAACAAAAACATGTACATGTTTATTTACCGAATCAACGTCGAACGATATGTTATAACAGAATGTCTTTACAATTTTTTTACATTTTACTTTGGCAAATGGACAAATAGGTTCCGCTTCGGTCACTTTTCTCAAAGCAATTGTTTTAGAAGTTTCATTTGAGCAACAAAATATCGCGACTACAGTGCATTCGGAAAAGCGTAATCTTACAGTTTAAAACTTGTCGTTGA